AAGTCACCTCCCCCTCTCCGCCACCCATCCCCACCCACCCACCCCACGTCTCTCCATCAATCACAATTATATCCTCTCTCTCCCCCAGCTATCGTTCATAATTACTGCTCGTGACTTTATCCCGGCGCTCGACGTCGCTGGACCGGGGCCGATGCCGTCCGCTCCGTTCCGCTCCGCTCCGCTCCGGCCCGTTTGCTGGGGATAGGTGATAAGAGCGAGCGAAAGAAAGCCTCGGATCAGAAAGGGACGACCCGCCGAGTGTTCAACCGACAACCGCTGAAACCGTGCTTCGCGTTCTTTCGTTCATTTATACTTGTTTGGACGAATTTTTTGGTGAAATATCCGAGGACAGGGAACAATTTGGACAATCTCGATGCTTTTGATTTTTTTCTTTTTTTTTCTTTCTGTTTTCGAGATCGAAAATACCGGCGTGACACGAAAGAAGGATTGTTACTTGAGACGAAAGCGGAGAATTTTACGGGCGCCGAAGTAGCGTTGAAAGTAGCAGCGTTCGGCTGGGCACTTCGATCGAGAAGGTTCAGGATGTAAGGGGTGGTTCCGAGAGCTAAAGTTCTTACGAGTTTGACTAACTGGAAGCTCTTGCGCAGTGCCTCCGGTGTCTTGAACTCTGTTGAACCGAGTTCGAGAGACAGTATTCATTTACGAGTACTTCTCGGAAAGGTAATTTCAATTTTCCGTCAGTGTCCTAATTAAGAACGTCCTAATCATCTCCGACAGGGGGAATGTCGAATTATCCGGACGAAGTAACCGAGTTTACCTTACTGTTTCCGTTTACTAATAAACTTCGCAATGAAAACGACGTAAATCAAAATACAGTTTATAAACCTATCGATATTCTTCCTCCCTTTAACAAATAGATTTTCTAGGGCACTGGGAACAGCGTAGGAGACGATGATTCGCCGTTTTCGAGTCGGTGAAGAGCGTACGGTGGCCGTTCGATAAAAGCCGAACGCAACGAGCTCGCCGGATGTTCGGTTATAAAAATCGCCGGATAGAATTTCCGGCCTGGCACAGAGCTTGATGCAGCGCGGTTTATTCCTTCGCTCGTTTCGCTGAAAACAAGCGTGCGTCTTACTTTCATTGCGACGTAGCGGGTGCAATCGAGCCCGAATGGAAAAAGGATAAAAATCGAGCCGCGCCACGGAGAGTTTCCTCCTCGCTCCCTTTTTCTCCGATTGCGTAGCAACGAGCAAATCGTAGAAGGGAAAAAGAAAGTAGAACGGGGTAATTGAGGATTAACGACGAAGGTAGAAGCGGAGTCGAACAATTAGAAATTTTGTAATTAGTTTTGTACACAGTGTGCTTCTGGGAATTGGAATTAAATGAGAAATTCGGAGAAGGAAGAACGAGGAGGAGACTGAAAATTTCAAACGTAGATAATAATTAAAACAGTAATTAAGCGAATAAAAATATTATGTTGTACAAAAATGTGTAATTTACCGTGAAATTTAATAAAATAGCGTTTGCGCGATTACAAATATTACTTTTGTCTTTAATTTTCCAATTGTTTAATCCGGGAAAACCGAAAGAAACGGTAAACAAAAACGGAGACAGAAAACTGTAATGACCCTCGCAGGGAAAGAACCTGAAGCTACCCTCGAACGATAACCCCAAAAGAAGCGTCGAAACAGGTGTCCAACGCTATTTCTCACCTTTCACCCTTCTCCCACCTATAAAGTTAACAAACTTTATCTCCCAAATACGAACTATCTCGTAGAATCCTGCAGAACGTGTTCACAGATTCGCATTCCAAATACGAATTCCATGTTGCGTAATAAAACCAATACTACAACCTTTAGTTCGTGGTTCTAATCAAAATTCAAAGAATCTCAACGATCTCGACTAGAGATCCAGCTTAACGAGAATCGAAGTTACTTACAAGTTAATTACAAAAGTGAAGTCGATGCAAAATTAATTCGAAGAGGTCGGCAGTTCTCGTTCGTCTGGGACTGCAAGTCCCTTTCACGATCCGAACTGAAACCCGGCGAATCAAAAATCGAAGTTGAAATTAATTCGAGAAGCTTTTGCCGGAGGAACGGAAAGCGACGCAGGATAATTGCGTGCGCCGATACACGCTTGGCCTATTACCACCGTGAAGAGAAGAAAAGGGAAAAAGAGAGAGAGACAGCGAGACAGAGAGAGAGAGAGAGGGTGAATGTAATATATACTTTCCTCCGAGAGGCGACTTCAGCCCCCTTTGGTCTGTCCTGCTCGGTTGTCGGTCGTTTCGCTCGCCCTTCGGGGGCTGCGTGCGCGGACGCGCGCGCCCTTCCAGGCGGGGTGCGTGAGCGCATATAAATGGAAACCCTTCAAGTAGCCTCGGTGCCCGCGTTGCCATCTACCTCGTGTGCGTGTACCCCTCTCTCTACACGCGCTCCTGGATTACCGTGAGCAGTGGGGTGAACGGGGGTGGCGAGGACTGCCTCGGCGACGATAGTGCAACGGATAACTACGCTCATTCCCTTCCCTTTCCCTCTTATTTCCCATCTTTTCCACTATTTTTCGCGCGTCTACTACTTTGAGAGTAGTTTGAGAGGTTTGGAAAAATCGTAAATGTCGTTGCTACAACATCCTCGAGATGTAGACAGACAGTTCTTGTGAAATTTCTTTCAAGTGTGAAATAGGGCGATTCAACGGCACGAATATGTTATTGAGGATGAAGTAGGAAGATTTCAGAGGGAAACGAGGACAATTTCTACAATGTTTTTTTCGATAAAGCAAAATAAAATAAATGCTTCCTTTTACTTGGGGAATCTTTAAAAAAAATTTACGAAAGGGTTTTCGCAATCTTTTTGAAAATTTAGATAAAGTTAAGTACGTGAGAAGAGACTGGCGAGACAATTTCAGCAAAAATACTGGACGCAATGTAGAACGAATCTCTGAGAACCAAGGAGCATGCTAGCGACGAATATTTCTCTAGCATCGAACTCGCGGCTGGTGCATCCGCAGGAGGGATCCGAAGCGTCTTGAGGCCATCGCTAGGCGCAGGCGACGAGGGCGGGAAGCGCGTAGAGCACAAGTGCATGCAGATAGTCGATGTTAGGTGCGTTGCATGAGCGCTTACATGCCTAGAAATTCACCCCTTTTTTCCCTGCTCTCTCTCTCTCTTTCTCTCTCTCACTCTCTCGTCGGTGCAAGTTGGTTGGTTGGGCGAGGGTGGCCAAGGGGAAAGGGTGCTGCAGGCCTCGAGAGTGAATACGGCACACAGGAGCGGCACGCACAAGTACACGGTTTCGCAGAGAGCGGAACGAAATCTATAGCACGCACTTACGCGGTCGTATATGCGTGTACGCGTACGCGTACGCGCCTGCCGCACCCCGAGGACACCGCCACCGAGAGGCAGAGAAGCAAGGGGACAGGGAGAAGCTTTCAATTTTTCCTGCTGCCTTCGCGACCAGCCGGAAGCCGAGATTCTCGCGGAAGAATACGCGCCATCCATGGGCGTAGCCTGGCTTCAGCGCGACACACCACACCGTGTGTCAGAGGATATGTACCAGCCTCCATAGCCTTTTGTAATCGTTTGAAGGAATTTTTAATACAGTGGGGGAAATCGTAGACTTGGCTCGTCCGACGATTTTTATTATTTTCCTCCTTTCGAGCGTGAAAGCGCGCCGCCGAGGAACATCTTGCGCGTTGTCGTTGCTTTTGCTGTTAAGACGAATAAATAAATGTTACACGCGCAGATTGGACGAGCGAATTCTCTTCACTTCAACTTCAGGGTGAATTGAGAAGAGTATTTCTCAATTTCGACTACGACTATGTCCGATTTCTTCGTTCGATCGCTATTATGATTCAGTCATTATACCGAAAGCAGAAAAAGTTGGTCCTTATTTTTCATCAAACAATCGTAAACTTCTTTCAGTTTGAACTGAAAAATTCACTCCAACATCCTCGTTCGAGAACTCCATTTTTTTTTTTTTTTTTTTTTTTTTTTAAAATAAAAATTAANCCCCCTCCCTCGCAAAACGCCCCATCGTCTTTCTCCGTTTAGTCCTTTTTATCGCAGTCGACGCGAGTCGGGATACTTTTATTTCATGGCTGCAAGGTCGCATCCGCGTTTCGCAACGATCCACGCGGCTTAACCCATATCGCCCTCTGTCCTTGATAAACAGTTACGATCGGCCGTGAATCGCTTTTCACGCGATATTCCAACAACGCTCGTCGCTTGTAAATCGGAAATTTGAATGGGATTTCGCTCCGACACCGTCAAACGTGTCGATTGGCCGCGGACCGTGTTATTACCGTTATTACCGTAGAAGAGAGTCTTGGATGAAAATATAGAAATGTTTCTCTTACCATATTTTTCTCTAAATATTTGCCAGGATCTTTTACTATTCGCGAGCGTCGAGAATGTTGGCAGCTTGGAGCAGTCACGCGCGTTGCATTTCAAAAATAGTTTGCACCAGTTCGTCGTAAACGATGATCGATGGTCCACGAGACGACAAATAGGTCTATTTTACTGCACGAGATATGTCGATGACCGTATCAAGTGTGATAGAATGAGAAAAATGAAACAATGACACGCGCGGTTTTGTGCCCACTTCGTCCACTTGGAGCGAGGAAAATATAAATCTCGAGATAAGTGACGGCGTCTGTTGACGGGCAGGTAGTGACATCTATCGACGATTCCATGCACGTGTCTTGTACGAGTAAAATTTTAAAATTTAATTTCTTATTTCTTCCATGATTTTTATACGATTAATTCTCAAGATTTATTCCTGCAAATATTGTGATTATAAATTCACGGATATGTATCGATTAATTTATATGCACACATGTTCATCTACATTACCAACTATAGAAAAAAATCACAAAAAAATAAGTCTCTCGCAGAGATTTATAAATACTCGAACTACTTAGGTGTTGCTAAATTGTTCGTTTTTCTAAGACAAACTATTGAAATAAAATTAAAAAAAAAAATACAAAATATAAAAGTCGTGTAACTACGTTTGGAATTAATATTCCAAGTTCGGTTTTTCTTTCGTGCAAAATGAAGCTTTTTCAATCTCCTTCAAAATCGTTAATATATTCTATAAATTCTTTTCATTTTTTTTTTCTATTCCTTTCGTCGATTAGTTATCACGACGATTTTATGATCTTTCAATTTCAAAATCTATCGCGAAGGCAGCATCTTTCGTCAACAAGCACGAACAATCAGAGTTTGGCCGTAAATGGAATTTTTTTCAGACTATGTGATCCAGTCGGTACATTCTTTCAATAATTTGCGATAATTTCACAGGCACAACCATGAGGGAACCAGAAAACGTCCGTGTATAACTGGTTTCCGCTTCCTTCCAACGCTACCAATCGCTTTTGGACAAACTTTTGCTGACATCTACTGGTGTATCCCGCAGGAACGGAACAGATACCGTTGCATACATTCATCCTAAAAAAAAAATCAAAATATTATAAATGTTATAAAATATTTTTATTTATAAATATATTTATTATAAATATTACAAATATTATAAATATTACAAATACTGTAAACATTATAAATATTATAAACATCATAAATATTACAAATATTATAAATATTATATTACATAATTCTAGTAAATCGCAATAACTTTATTTATATTTGTCAATTATTTCACTTCAAATTCCACAAGCTAGAGTACACCATGTGGAATCACATTCAATTACTTTGTAGAAATTTTATAAATCTACTCACGTGCATTTCTCACTCTTCACTACCTGCGAATACTTCCGATTCTTATCTTGAAGATTCACCACGTACATCCAATTTCCTTGGTTGTTCAAAGCCGCCCTCGGAGTGATGTACTGCGTCTCGGTTGGACATAGTGGGATCGCATCGGGATTTGACTGCCTCTTATTGCGCTCCTTATTCGATTTACTGTATTTCAATAACGGATTTTCGTACAACGTGCGTGGTGGTGCTTTACTGCTTCTAACGTATCTGAATAAACACATAAATACAGATTCTGACTCTCGGTTACCTCTAACTCAATTCCGAACTCTTTATTATCATTCTAAGCTCCGCATTCATCTACTGTAATTACAGAATTGTACTAATATAAAACTGTATTATCATTCTAAGCTCCAGAATTGTACTATCTATTATAAAACTGTATTATCATTCTAAGCTCCGCATTCGTCTACTGTAATCACAGAATTAATTATTAACAGCACTAATTCGATCCAATTGCCTTTTTTTCCTCGTTACCAAAAAAAAAAAAAAAACTCAATATTACAAACGACCACCTGTTCGCCCACCACGTTTGATCCTGTCCAAAAGACATGTAAAAGGGACGATCGGACGTGACTCGTTGTTCCGTAGAATGAAGCTTGACTGGTATCGTTTCGTCGCTCAAAAACGGATCCCTCCGGGTTGGCGTCGTGTACTTGTAGCTACGAACGGATACGATGAAAAGCGGGCAATTCAGTTGACAATTTGGTTGGCTACGGAATTAGCATTAAAATTACCCATTCTGCTGAGTATCGTTCGACGGGGTACCATAAACGAGCGGCGGATGCCCTCGAACGGGATATTGTGTCGGCGGCAAGAATGGTAACGAGTGAAACTGACCCTCCCTCTGCGCCGGGTAATCATAACCCTCCGAGTAATCCGGCATCGACCTTGAACAGAAACACATTGTCCTTGATCCATTTCTACGGGAACGTTTCTCGAAAATTTAGAAGCAATTGATGACGATGATTGGTTTAGTGATTGATTTAGAACGTGAATGAGACTCTAAGTTAATTTTGTGACAATTTGGAGAAAACGATCAGCGTAGAGATTTTGAATGGGCGGCTTTAGTGAAGGCACTGATAACGTAGATTTCAAGATTACTGCGATCGAATGATATTAGAATATTTCAATGAATAAAAATGATTATGGAAAGAATGTTATATAAATACTGGCTCATGAATATTTTATTCGAAAGTTATAACTGGATCGTGGACGATTTAATTTATCGCATCACGAGTATCTTATTAATTTAATGAGCGCATTATGCGATTTTGACACAAATCTTTCGTAAATGATTGATGAATCTACGATATTACTGCATCGTCTTCTTGACAAAAACAAAAAAAAAAAAAAAACAAACAAACAGGACAACCTTATTTTCAAGATTATCTTTGCAAAGCTAGGCTAGTCTATAATTTCTATGTATAAAATAAAATAATTACAAGGCGTACCTGTAATCATTGAAGTCCTTTCTTGACTCGTCTCTTAGTGCGGAAATGAAGTCAAAGTTGCATTTGTCCACGAGAAATTTAATCAACTGTCTGCGACAAAGAGAGAGAGAGAGAAAGAAAATGAACTTACGCAATAACAAACGTGAAAGAAAAAGAAAGTAGAACAGTGTAGATTTTCAATTGCATCTTCCAAATGATCTTCGACCCGTAATCAGTCGATGCAAATGAAAGTTTATCGTAATACCAAATGTCGCATACGATTTCTCGACTCAACTTGAATAGAATCGTTTCATAAGTGAACAAAAAAAATTGGTTGTCTATCCCATGCATTATTCACGAGTTCGCGAAGGCCAGGTTCCACGACCTGTAGAAGTTCTTCATACATATCATAACCACTTCCGAACGGAATTTAAAAATTCAATAATTGAATAACGTGCTTCTACCACATCATCCTCGTTCATCTTGAAGATTTAAAATTTTAATTTCTACCTTCTCTGGAAGAAATTTACAGTCCAGAACTCCACTTATTCGAATCGAATTTCAGTCAATACTCGATCAAACGATCTCAGTCATTTGAACGTCCGAGTGTTCGTGCTTCGAACGAAAGTCATTAGTAGAGGGGAGAATGAGTGGAACTCTTGCAACTCCAGTTATATAAACTATTTGTCTCTCAACAAGTTCGTACATTAACATCTCTCAAGAAGCTACCGTACTCGAGAAGAGAAACAAATGAACACACTGTGCAGTTGAATCATTACGTATATATCGTTGCAACACGAAGCACGATAACGAAATATCGACGAATTGAAAAGTCCAACAATTGGAGTTTTCGGGGAAAAGAATCGAAAAATTCGACGCGTATCCGTGCAAACAGGCGCACGAATTTCATGCGTGATCGAACAACCCGCGAACTTTCTCCGACGGTGAAAGACTTATGACTAGAGGATATGTATATAAGAAGATGTTTAATTCATGGTTCACGCCTAAAAGCTGTTTTCTCGCGGGCTGCATCTCGATCAGTGTCTTCCACGGGCCTGGCCCAACTTTCGAATGAGCGTGATCCGTCAATGGACGACGGAAATCGGTGGAGACCAGAGATTGACCTCGAATCCCAATAGCACGTTTTAACTCACACAATTTCGATACCGTCGCCGTATTTGATCAACGTACTTTCGAACGTTCCTTCCTTGTCGTCCATCCGTCTTCCTCGAACGGCCAATCGACAGGAGAGATCGCTCTGACTTTCTGATTTTTTTATACTCCTAGCTTTTTTTTCTTCTTCTTTTTTTTTTTTTTTTTTTTTTGGTCTCCATACCAACGTTTAGCAAAGGTTTTGGTTCCCGCCTAATGTTCGACAAAAGTAGTAAGTATTTCTGTCTAAAAATGAACGTGTAAAGTATCGAGAGGAAAAAAACTGAACTGGATGGAAATCCGCCCGAGTTGACGAGAAATAGCGGACAATGCGAGGTATTATGCGTTTCCTGTTATGCAGACCGCGTTGCCACGCGTTCCGCTCACAATTGCACCGGCATGCCGTCGCGTCGCGTCGCGTCGCGTCGCCTAGAACTCGTTCATCAACGATAAACGCCAGCAATTATCGTTTCCTTAAGTCTCTCGTATTCTCTGACGAATGCGCGTAAACATCAATTCCCCGTAATTGATCGCGTTCATCTATCCAGATTCATGATTATACGGAATAGAGTATTCTAGTATGTGTTACATCGATACGCTGACATTATCCGGCGACAGTATCAATTAAGGATGATAGATGGTAGACGAGTAAAGAGGAAATTGCAAGAAACTGAGAACTCTTCTTTTCTTTTTTTTTTTTTTTTTTTTATATTCGTAAAACGCAGAAACCGAAATCTGTTTGGTAGACGGGACAAACTTTCTAGCTTGACAATTGCTCAACTTCCATGGGGAGTTCTGCAAATTACACAATGTCGTTTCAATAGAAAGTATTTAAAGTACACGGTTTTATATATTTGTTCAAACATGTCGGAAGTGTATATAGAATTCCTTTCACGTCGCGAGCAAGCATCCTCGATTTATTCGAGCTGATTAACACCTTGCAAAATGAGCCATTTGCATTTCGCGTAACCAACTGACCAACGTAACCAACAATTATTCTCTCTGCCACTTTCTTCATTTCATGACAGCTCTTTGACATTTTCTGTCGTTTCTCGAGAAATATAAAGATATTCCGTAACCTATCACCTTATGTCAATCGATGCTTCTTGTAATATAATGAATAAACGAATCTTCGCGGGAGCTGTTCCATTAAAAGAGATGCAAATAATAGACGTAATAGACATGGTGTATCGTATGAAAATCCATGGCGACCACTCGAAGCGATGAATCGCGTCGATAAATCTGTCACGTTTCCGCGAACAATCTTTACAAGTCACGGTGGAACGTCGAATTCAGTTGAATTCGTGACAGTTCCTATAATTATCTAGTAGAGCATGACCGCGTCAAGGCCACGGTCGCGCTACGCTGATCAAAGAATAAAACGTATCGAAATGACGTCCGTTTTTACGTAATCGTTTGTCGCTTTCGAATCGATCTGGCTCCGGTATAAAAAGAATGAGAGATCGCCAAGCACGATTAGAACGAATGCATTATAGACATACGATGCTTTTCGCTGTTTTAGCTCTAATTATTTCTTTTTTTTTCTTCTTCTTCTTTTTCTTCTTTCGGTGATTCTTGCAATTTCATTTTTCCTTGTTCGTTAATGGTGTTTTTCAAGTGTGAAAGAAACAAGAAATGAAAAATAAAAATAATTGACAAACATTGTACAGACGATCATTGATAAAAGAAACAGAGGATACTCTGATTGATCAGAAAATTTACATTCAACTGTCTCTGATAGATTTTTGATAGTGGAGCAATCATTCTGTGTCACGTATTTTCAGCATCGAATGAACCGTGCTTTTTTTTGGTCAGACACGAACGAAATAAAATAAAAGTCGAATGACGCAAGAACGGCGACGAACTAGCGGGATATTATCAGAGCAGTTTTAAGCAAGTTCACTATCCTGGAAACTTTCCCTTCCTGAAATTCGTCTCGCCACGCACGATCAGCTGATTTGTATGCAGGAACGGCAGCGCTCGTCACGTTGGGAATATTAATAACCAGACGGTGAACCATATTTTTACAAATTCCGCAGATGCGATACTTTTGGAAACTCGGGGAAATAGCTCGAGCCCCTTGTCGAATATCTTTCTTCTGTTACTTGATAACCCGATGTTGCACTACGTGATTTCGAAATCTAAGAATTTCACGGAAGCTCGTAAAAAATGTTAAATATTCAGGCATTTCAACCTGAATGATTTTTACAAAAAGTTGACTTGAGAAATTGCTGTCACTGCTCTGTTTATCATTGTTTATATTACCTTTTCAAACAATCCATTTCCCAAGTATATTATTTTTCAATCTTTAAACTTATTCTTAAACGAAGCAGAATGAGATTTAAAAAGCAAACAAGTTTCTTATCGTGCTTTTTGTCGACCATACATCAAGAAATCCAACCGTTCATTTTATGACTCTTTTGAAATCTCTTGTTAACTCGAGGAATCGGTCGAGCTTCTTAGCGAATCTCGATTTTTTATGCGCGACCAATGATCCAAATCTTTCGATCGTTTTGCGTAATTAATTGACCGAGGACGAACAAAAACCGACCGATACCTTGAAACGGTAGTGTCTGATACTGAGCGCAACAATATTAAGAGCGTAGCATTATCATGCAAATACGATAATAGGCCTGACATCACAGATCTGCCATGCGGTATCCCACGAGCATTGTAGTGTGTACGTAAGTAGCACACTACAACGAGACAACTCTTTTTCACCAGTCTTGCGAAAACTCATTCGACATCCGTGTAATGTCCATTTAACCTTTCATTCTTTTTTCTTTTTTTTTCTTTTTTAGATGTATTCCTCGCGATGGAAACGACGTCTTTACCATCTGCAAGTAGGTTGACAGATGCATAAACTTCAAGGATTATTTACAACGTGGAAAGAAAAAAAAAAAAAAAAAGAGGAATGATCGTATACTTCTTGGTTATTTAACTTAAAAAAAAAAAAAAAAAAAACTTCTTCGAAGACATATCTGTAGATGGTGTAATTTACATTCAGTACGTAGCCTTCGATAAGCGATCTTTTCAAATGCTGATCACTAAGATTTCTCAGCCTTTGGTAATTATTCAAAAACTAATAAAACGAGGACACGAATATTCAACTTCGTTCCTCAAGTCGACTGTAAGTTGAGAATAATAGTGAAAATTGAATCCCTCGGGCAGAAGGAATCCAAAATGAACGTTTCGGAAACGTAATTAAACAATTTAGCAAGTAAATATTAAATTCAAGGTGCGAAAACTTTTTGACCATGCTCGACGACGTTCTCGAGCCACACGATGTATTCAGTTTTCATCAACATTGAATTCTTCTTAGAATAGAAATTACATTTTCCTTTTGTCACTTCTTACCGAGGATAATGATCGAGACTTTCGCAGAACGTTTGTCCTGGCTTTGCGCAATTTGGAGTGTGCCCCGGAGGTGCGGGTACAAAAGGCTCGTACTGTGGTCGTCCTGGACATCCGTACTCGAGGCAAGGTTCGCCATGAGCGTTCACCAAGGATGCCTAGAACCAAATCGAGAATAACGTACCGAGAGCCTTGATGAGACAATTGAAACAGCAATTAAGCATAACATTAAGCGTATGAAACGCTCACTTACTAGAATTACTAACTTAGAAATATTGAATAATATAAATTAGCTACATGGAAAATTCTGATATGTTGACCATCGATCCTGACCACTAATTGTCTGACCAACAAAAATCATTTAGTACGAAGAGAAATGTCTTCGCGAATGCATTGCAAAACAGATAGAATCTGAATTTGATTTGGACGTAGAGGCGAGAACGAAAGCGATTGAAATATTTGCGATATTTAATGAGATCTGTTTAATAGAAACGAGTTCATTTATTAATGAGAATATCCTTTGACGAAACGAGATCGCCGAGATTAACATCACTAGAACGTTTGAGTCGTATAAAATTTCTATAAAGATTATTAGGAGAAATCTTCTGCTTCGTTATTGCGGAACCTTGATGAATCATGCTTCTCTGAAATGATTCCATTGGCTCGTGGCGCTATATAAGGAATATTAAATCTACGCTCGCCTACTTTTCACTAGAAATAAAAAATGAAACAAATATATGAACGGCGTATCTCGTTAGCGGCTGGTAATTGTGCAGGCTTGAAGTCGTTCGTTATGTTTGCGTAAAGAAAAAAACGACAGCGTTCATTCATGAGTTTGCTTTCATTGGCCTAAATCGGAGCCCGGAAACTTTAAAACTGTATTATCTAGTACCTCGATCAGTGAAACGGATTTAAATCTGATGTAACATCCTAGTGCAACGCCATTTAAGAGCTTTCTCAGGCTACTTTCTGTTAACTCATGACGCATGACATGGTCGGCGTTGCTTTTCATCGATCTCGAAATCACACATGATCTGAACGTTCGTATACTGCAAAGTTGAAAAATTTGGTACGATAAAATGGTCCAACCGTGGGTATTAATTAATTTAATTAAAGACTCTTTGTTGCCAGACAAAAAGAGAATTGTAAATGAAACGGCATCTAATGATAGTGGTAGAAAGTGACCCATTTTCATTTCGACCAAGCAAAATGAATCATCCTGTACGCTACGCCGGTATTACGATACAATTTTCAGACAGTTACAGCCGTTTTATGACCGTTTTATTCGTACACTTAATTGTTCCTTTATTTTCACCGAAGTGTGCATCCGGTATTACAGAAAGCTTGAATTCAACGGCAACTGACGCAATCTTACAAAATGTAGAGAGTCTTACGCCAGATATTACGATACGCGTCAGAGTTGAACCGTACATTTCACTAGCAGCTTTCACGGTCTAAGAAACTACTTGTCCCGCTGGATCGTACCTTACTGTCGATGTCTGACACGGTGGTCACGCGTGCGACCATAAAACTGCGGATTCACTTGTAAAATATTCGATTCGCCGTCCACTTTCATCTTCTCGTCGATCGACCAACATCGATTTTTTTAAAATCTTGAGATTCTTGAATCAGAAATTCTTTACGGATTTATTTATTTCTTGTTGTATTACGCTCGTAAATGTTCCACAATAACGAAGGCACGTTTTTAACAACGGAATGACATTTAGAACGACTCTCGATTCATCGGCGAGTGAAAAGGTTATTCCGTTATTCTTGCCGTTTCTAACTACGAATTGAGTTTGAACCACGTTCACGAAAATATTTTTGCCTCGAATCGGTGAGGTTAGAATACGATCGTTCTACATCTTTCAGAGTTGTTGATTCAAACAAGGAATAGCAGGAGCCGTCGCGCAAATCGATTCATTCGTTTCTCACTTCGATTATACGATATGATAACAGAGCGCATAAAATCACTTGTTATCACGACATCTGTAATTTACTACCTAAAGCATAGAAACTTGCTCGACCCTGCTTAATTCCTTCCGATGATAAAAATCATAAAATTACGTATCCACTTACGATCGTTAATAAGGACAAGAAGAATTTCATTTTCGGAGTGCGCCAATGCCAGTCGCCGTAATTGATTCAACTCGAAGACACTTCACAGTTTTCTTCTCCTCTGCCGACCTTAACCATACCGCGACACCTTTCGCGAAGACTGCTGCTCGATCGGAAGTCGAATCACATAATTACTGACATCACGCGAGCTGCGCGGAACGGGGTTACCGTGACACGATAAACGATTATCAGTGAAGCACGTGCCGGTATCTGCGGATGCGATTCGCGAGCTAGACGGATCGCGGAAACGCCGATGTGCAATCATGCGTGGCGCGAGTGTTGACAGGTATCGCTGACCGCGGAAAAAGTATATACCTTGCCGCGCGAGGTGACAATTTTTCGACCACTGTGGACCTCGCTTAGCAACTAAACTGGAGAGTAACTTCAATTGTGAAACGTGACTGAGCCGGCTCGAAGATTTGAAATCCGATTTAAATCCTCCAGTAATTGCGGCGTGCACGAGCGCGATGAGTGACAGACGAAGTTCACACGGGAGATCGATCACGAGCACCCACTATACGACGATACGATACTGGTCGAACCGCGAATGAACGAGTGCGACCGGCGATGCTTTAGTCACCGCCACTGTCACTCGTATATATGTGGTGTTAGGTCCAGATTCCGCAGGGGGTTTGTCCTGTGCGATTTTACGCGCGGCGATTTTACCTAGCAACGTGGGTAACACGGTGTATCGATACCCATTCTCGCGTTCGTATCCCTTCCTCTTGCACGCGTGCACGAGTTCCGATCGAGCAACCGGGTGGGGTGTACAGGCAGGCGCTATATATGTATAGTTACTCTTTGCTAACTCGGCACTCGGCTACATCTTTGTTTCAGATTGTTTCGAAAGTTAGAAAGGCGCTCAATTTTTTTACTTCTTCATCTTCCCTGACACTCGAGTCGACAGACTACGCCACAGACTAAATTGTCGATTCGTAATTTTTCAAAAAAAAAAAAACTTCTCGCCAGCTGAGCCAAATTCGGCTCGGATTTAAGGCCAGTTAGCAAGGCACTACTGTACTTTCACTAGTATCCGTGTTCTGCAGCGTACACCATTTGACCTTACACGTTAACAAATGTCGCTAGAATGCAATCAATAAAACTGCATAAAGATTAAGGTCAACTGCTTGATAATTTTACTTTTATTTCTACATTAACAAGCCTCGCGCATGATTTCTTTACATGACCAAGCTAAGGAATAGCGCTTTAATTCGAATGTATCTTTCAACTGACATACGTACGTACTGGATGATCGCAATTCGATCCCATTGGCACGAAGAGGACGCATTGACTCTTCCTGATCTTTTCGTATGTCCCGTATAAAATGCTTCTTATATTTTCTTCGAATTAATATGAATATTTAAAACATGAATAGATACTTGAACGTTGAAGATAGAACGTTTAATTTTAAAATTAAATATTCTGTCATGCGCACTTTTAAAACGTACGGTGGCGCCGTCTATGTACAAATCCAAGAACTTAATATTAATTTGATACACATTTCCATTAGTCGTGCCAGGTGAGATCTGAGTCATGATGAGATATACGAATAAATCAAGCATCTTTTGGGATTTTGTATCTCATCACAGACGAAGTGTATGAATAGACCTCGCATGCAATGTATTTTTTCGGCCCACGATTGGGGGATCTCAGGATCTCTTTACCATTTTCGTATCACATCCTGTCGTATTCCGATTCGAGCAACTTTGGCGCTTCCATCGACGAGGTTCGTCAATTTTTTTTAATACCTTTCAATAGATGTAAATAATCAAATATATAATATACTTTTCATCTCAATTTTCATCAATGGGCTGTTATAAATCATTATATTTCTTTATTGATGTAGTGAAGTACCCAACCACGTTCAATTCAGTAAGCAGATATGGCAGGTGTCCATATTTTTTGATTTGAATTCTCATCACTAGTAGTGCTGCAGTGCAAAACCTGGCTAAATCGGTACGACAGGATATGACACGAAAATGATAAAAGGGTCCTAGAATTGCAAAATCGTAGGAAAAAAAAAAAATTCATTGGATGTTTCGTTTACTCCTCGTCTGTGTGATGAGCTTCTTTGAATTCTTTCTTCGCGATGCGATTTTTTGATGTCAATATTTCATAATGTGAGACACAAAGTTCCATATAATGCTATATCTAATCTATTCTTTGTCAATGATTAATTCTCCTATTATTGAAGTATATTTTAGTATGATCGAAATTATTTCAATATCCATAAAAAAATTCCATTACAATCACAATTTCATCTATATTATACACTCCATGTATCAGAGTTATAATTTAGCGTTTCGAACGTCACACTATTCATTAATGAATAAACTGAATTTACATGAAACCGACGAATTCTGACAAGTGAATTAGAATTTGAACATGCAACGAAGAAAGTAGTCTTATCAAGATAATAAAAAATAGTTCAAAATATGACCACAAGATGACAGGGAAGTGGTTTGCATAAAATTCATTTTTGCTCATTATCATAAATTAGTATACATTATACATATAGAAGATCGAGGAAAGGTACGAAAGGGGTAAACATAATTCGACATACTTTTCGTATGGTTCAGTTGTTATGTATACATTTTACTGCGCGAGTCTGTTCTGTTTGTGCCGTTGAATTTGATGTGAAAGGAACCCGAACCTCTCGATGCTAAAGACCATACGCTCCTGTTACGGCATAGCGTAATCATAGCCATGGCGACTACTGCTTCGTCGCGGGTAGACGAACTCGTACAAACTGTTACCCTTCACAATCCTCGAAAATTGCTATTCACGGGCTACGTTTTACCCTCTGTGATACTACACGCTGTGTGGATTTATAGTTGGATTTTTGTCTACGGAATTGACGAATATTATGATGCGGGTTTAGTGGGTATCGCAGCTATTGGTGTATTACAAATTTTCATATGTTTATGTTGCCAGTGGTCAGTGCATATACATACTTTTCTTAATTGTAGCTCGGTGAGTTGACAATCGTTTACCGTAAGAACTAATTAAATAAATTGCACGTGTGAGCTATGTTGTTCAATATGTTCCGTTAACGTGGCAGCCATTCAAACCGGCCTTCTGTTCGTTTCACATGGCCGATTGGCGGGAAATTTTAAATTGAAATAGTTGAATGTTGAAACTTTTCCAGGCAAAAAATCCATATAAAGCGAAAATAGCGAAAGTAGTTCCTACTCCCAACAATGGAAGTTCAGAACTTGTTAAACTACATCATTCTGAACAGCAAGAACCGTGGTTCATATTTCAAAAAACTAAGTATCATTGGAATTCGCATAAAAAAAGTTTTGAAGGCCTTCAGTTTCCAATTAATCATTCTGTTAAGCATTATTGCGAATGGAGAGGATATTTAGATGAAAAAGATATTGCAGCAGCAGAGGAGAAATATGACAAGAATAAGTAAGCGTATCTTTTTGTTTGTACTATTAAATGATTGCGTAAACGATTTTTTATATCATTTTTACCACTTTTACACAGGCTGGATATGGTGGTGCCAGAATTTAGAGAACTATTCAAAGAAAGAGCAATTGCACCATTTTTTGTTTTTCAATTATTTTGTGTAGCATTATGGTGTTTTGATAAATATTGGTATTACAGTATCTTCACATTGATTATGCTTATTATGTTTGAGTGTACGCTTGTACAGCAACAACTTCGAAATATGGCTGAAATTAGAAAAATGGGAAATAAGCCATATACCATAATGGTTAGTAAACGTTAGAAATGTATAAAGTATATTTTAAATATTTTCAATGAAACTGCTTTTATTGAAGGTCTATAGGAACAGGCGGTGGCATTCCATGTTTACTGACCAACTAGTTCCTGGTGATATTGTATCTATAACAAGATCTCAAAATGATAATCTAGTGCCATGCGATATGTTGCTTTTAAGAGGACCTTGTGTTGTTGATGAGAGTATGCTAACAGGTAAGTAATTGTGAAGAATGTTAATTTGTTATTAATATATTACGGTTTTATATTGATCAATTATGAATGAATAGGAGAATCAGTTCCACAAATGAAAGAGCCCATAGAAGAAATTGATGGAAATAGACAATTAGACATAGAAACTGATAAGCTTCATATACTTTTTGGAGGCACAAAAGTTGTGCAACATACTCCACCAAGTAAAAGTGTATCTGGCCTTAAAGGTATCTAAATAGTAAATAATTTATCATATATATACATGTTCACATTTATATATGTTAAAAATTCTAGCTACTGACAATGGCTGTGTGGCCTATGTTTTGCGTACTGGATTTTCAACATCACAGGGAAAACTTCTGAGAACAATATTATTTGGAGTCAAACGTGTTACTGCTAACAATTTGGAAACATTTGGTTTTATTTTGTTTTTGCTAATTTTTGCAATTGCTGCAGCATCATATGTATGGATTAAAGGTATATAATACACCAAAAAGAATATTGGAAATTACACCCTTACGCTATTAATAATTTATTAATATATAGGAAGTGAGGATCCTACAAGAAATAGGTATAAATTGTTCTTGGAATGTACACTTATTCTCACATCAGTTGTTCCTCCAGAATTGCCTATTGAGTTATCATTAGCCGTTAATACTTCATTGTTGGCCTTATCAAAATTAGGTATTTGCAAAATATATGAAGATAATTATAACAAACGGTTATATGTTTTTTAGTATAGTAATTTTATAATTTTTATATAGGTGTATTTTGCACTGAGCCTTTCAGAATTCCATTTGCTGGAAAAGTTGAAATATGTTGCTTTGATAAAACTGGTACTTTAACTAGTGATAATTTAGTCGTCGAAGGTATAGCGGGGATTGAGTAAGAATCAAATAATTTTCGAAATACATTCAAACATCGATATTTACATTAAGAAAGTGTTCATCATTTTAGAGGTAAACCGGATGTTATTCAGCTTTCTGATGCACCTATAGAAAGTATTCAAGTACTCGCAACGTGCCATTCTCTTGTGCAATTAGATGATGGTATTGTTGGAGATCCTCTCGAGAAAGCTACGTTAAAAGCTATTAAATGGAATCTCACGAAAAGTACGCTTTTATTTATTGCTATTATACTTCATAGAATTTTTTCAACGATATTCTAACAATTTTAATTTATTTAAGCTGATTCTATGATACCTAAAAAAGGACAATCACCAGTCTTAAAAATCGTACAAAGACATCACTTTTCTTCCGCGTTAAAACGAATGTCAGTCGTAGCAGGATATACGATGCCAGGATCATCAGAAATCAATTACATGACCACCGTAAAAGGTGCTCCTGAAATTATTAAGAATATGGTGTGTAGTAAATTTCGAGTGATTTATTTCGCTCTTACAGTGGATTATAAATGTTTTAATTTTTTTTTCCAGTTATCATCTATTCCAGACAATTATGATTCGACGTATTTGTCACTTTCACGACGAGGAGCTAGAGTATTAGCTTTAGGCTATCGAAAACTTTCTGGACCTTTATCTTCGCAGGATTTAAGAGAACTGACGCGAGAAGACTTAGAAAAGAATCTTAATTTTGCTGGATTTGTAATCATAAGTTGCCCACTTAAACCTGATTCTAAAACTGTTATTAAAGAGATAGTGAATGCTTCACATTCGGTAATTCTGTCAACAATTCAATTTTATCTTTAATTAATCCGTTTATAAATTATACAGCAGCTTTATGTTGTGTTTACAGGTTGTTATGATTACTGGTGATAATCCTTTGACAGCATGTCATGTTAGCCGTGAATTGCATTTTACGAAAAAACCAGTTACGCTTATATTGACTGCAACTGATGGAGAGTGGATGTGGGAAAGTGTGGATAGAAAAATAATCTTTCCTTTGGAAATGAAAAATATTTCTCGAAATAAAGAAATATGGCGAGAATACGCTCTTTGCTTAACGGGAGAAGTAAGTTCCATAAAGATCTTAAATATATGTCAATATTCAGTGCATTTATAACATAATTTTTAGGGTTTAGCATATTTAAAAGATAACGAAAGAGAGCTACTTCGTAAATTGTTACCACATATTGTAATCTTTGCAAGATGCGAACCGAAACAGAAAGAATTTATAATTGTTTCGTTGCAAAATTTAGGATACACAACTCTCATGTGTGGAGATGGTACTAATGATGTTGGTGCTTTAAAACATGCTCAAGTGGGTTAGTATAAAATTATCAAATGTCATAGAAAATAAAAAATTACATAAATGTTACATAAAATAAATATGTTAATTTTTAACTCATTCAGGTGTCGCTATTTTATCGAGTTTACCTGAAAGAACATCTACTGAAAAACAAGGTAATGTGAAAAATGAACACATTTCAAATTCAGCAGTAACAAATGGCCCAAGAAATAATCCAAGAGTTTCTGCTAATACTAGAGCAAGAATACAAAAATTATTGGAAGAGCTTGAAGAACAGTCTGTTATAGTTAAGTTGGGAGATGCTTCAATTGCTGCACCTTTTACTAGTAAAATGTCATCAATTCAATGTAGTAGGTTTTTTTTTTTTATATGATTTATAACAGTTCCAACATAATAATATATTAATATTATATTATTTATTTCATTATAGTATGCCATGTTATTAAACAAGGACGATGCACTTTGGTTACTACCTTGCAGATGTTCAAAATTTTAGCACTTAATGCATTAGGACTTGCATACAGCCAATCTGTCCTTTATTTAGATGGAATAAAGTTCAGTGATGCACAAGCTACATTACAAGGTGTTCTTCTCGCTACTTGTTTCTTGTTCATATCAAGATCAAAACCATTAAAAACATTGTCTAAACAGAGGCCACTTCCAAATATTTTCAACTTGTATACAATTGCTACCGTACTACTTCAATTTGCAGTGCATTTTATCTCTCTTGTATATTTAGTTAAGGAAGCCACTTTACTATCCCCAAAGTAAGTAAAACAATCAAAAAGATTATGCATACATTGATATTTGAATAAGAAATATTAATTTCCTTTCTATTTATTCAGGAGTAAGAAATTAGCATCTATATTAGCTCCAAGTAATTTATCTAATGACAGTATGGCTTTGAATACGAATTTTATTGACGAAGAACCTTTTGAACCAAATCTATTAAACAGTACAGTTTATATTATTGCCATGGCGATACAAATTTCTACGTTTGCAATTAATTATCGGGTAAACTATTCTTAAACGAAGTATTTATTAATAAAGACTTTTTATGTATTTCACTTTAATTAAACATAATTCTGTTATATAGGGTCATCCATACATGGAAAGTTTATTACAGAATAAATCATTATTATATAGTCTTATAGGCAATGCTGCTGTTATATTGGGATTAGCATGTGGATTTTTACCTGAGTTAGCAGAACAATTTGAAATTGTGGATTTTCCAAGCGATGTAAGTGAATGCATTAATGCAAATTAAATGTTCTTCATATTTGTATATATCTTATATAATAATTTTTTAAATATTTTCTATTTTTAGTTCCGCAATATTTTAGTTCAAGTATTAATAGCAGACTTTGTCCTTGCATACATAGTTGATAGAGTCTGTTTATGGCTTTTTGGAGAAGGAAGACATCAAAAGCTGTGATTAGTACACAATTTCTATATTTTACTTTTAGCTCCAAAAGTGCGAAAAATTAAATATATAAGTTTATTTTCTTGTTTCACAAAGAATAAGTTTTAATTAATTATTTAATATAATTCTCACATTTTATAAATTTATTATGATTCATGCGTTAAATACAATGCTTTTAAAAGACTGACCAATATATAATTGAGAAGTCATTAACATTCACATTAAAATTAATCAATTAATTAATTTAAAATTAATTAATTTAAATTAATTATTGCTCCTTAAAAGATTTAGGAACAATTCTTTGTGAAACAAGAAAAAATTTGAGAAAAATTGAGATATATGCAGGATATTCTACGCAAAGTGACGCACAGTTTTCCAATTATTTACGGCCTCATAAAAGGAAGTTTTGAACAGAAATTTATCAGTATCGAGTGTACAGAAATAGTGATTAGAATTTTAAAAACAATTTATTTTCATGGTAAAATCGAGGTCAGATTAGATACTTTATCCATTGTATTGTAGGAGGTACTAAGATAAAATTCACACAGCATATAATTATATATATTTATTAACACAGTTTAAGTAACTATTTATATATTTGTATACGCGATAATGATAAATTCTTTTTTGTTAGATAATCGCAAATGACTGAAAAGCCATGCGTCGCGTTACATGGAAAATTCTATATATATATATGTACGTTTATGAGTATGTGGTACGTATGTTTTAATGAATGTGTTATTATATAATGTGAAATAGTAAAAAGAGCATGCAATATGAGTGTACAAATGATAAGTAAATAATACATAATGTCATAGTTATTACATACACCATGTTTAAAAACAATTTAAGTGTACCTTGAGAACCTGATGTATGAAAATTGATAAAACAATCTTCTCTGTTGTGTCACAACCAAAAAATTGATTTTGAATATTGTATACAAAAAAATTAGAAGTTCGAAAATTATAGTAAAATCTTATATGTAAAATGTTATAACTAGACTGCCAATCTTTATGCAATCACAGTTTCATGAATATAATTAAAACAATGATATCTATAAAATTGTTTTCGTTAAATTATAACAAGCATTCTATTCCGATATTTTATAGTTTTTTTTATTGTATATATTTTCTGCATCTTTGTACCTTTGAATTTTTCATAAATACATAAAGATCCGCAGTCTAATTATAATTGTTTGTTAGAGATTATTCTATTTTAGCAAAAACTATTATGTTGTAACTTTTCAATTTTGTATAATTAACATATCCATTTTCAACTAGTTTTTTTTCACTAACATCACAAAATATACATATGATTTATCAATGTTTAAATTAATGTAACAGTAAATGTAATTTATGTTATACTTAAATTTCTAGATCATATGTTTTGTTCACTTTTATATTATTTTCATGTATGTACAATAGAATCAAATTTAGAGTGATTACGAATAGAAAGTATAAAATTTTAATTGCAACATTCCAATTCTGTTCCAGTCTTATATTTAGGAATATAAATAGAACATAAATAAATGAAAATATATATGACTCTTTTCATTAAAAGTATTTGCGTTCCTATTTGATCGACAAATAATAATGTATGGACACCAAAGTATTAGGCGTGTTTAATAAAAGCGTATACCTTTGTTAATACTGCCACTCTTACAACAATTAACAACAAAATAGATCTTATGTTATAGAAAATATTCAAAATTCAACACGGTGTTGTATCTACCGAATTATGCATGATGCAAATTTTCACAGCATCATATTTTTAGATCGAAAGTCCTAAGTGAAAGCTGATTGTATATTGTTGCCTTATAAACGTTTGTAATTATCTATAATGATTATGATAAAGTAATTTGTTGTAAACATCAATTTCTTTTTTTAATTTTAATTTCCTTAAATCGTCTTAATTAAATTTATACATGTGTATATCCTATATCGTCAACCAATGATGAGCAGAAACATGTAGAAGCACCATGCGCATCAATTGAGAGAAAAAAGCAACAGGTACTTATGAATAACTTAAATTATATCTATCAAGGAAACAACTTGTTCATCCACATCCATGATTAAAATATGTATTATTATTTCAATTTCAAATTTAGTTACAATTATACTTGAAATAATAAAGATACATGACTAACAATAATTCGAATATTTTCACCGTTTTTAATAATCTTTTATTGATATAACGGACAATAGAATAAATTATACGTTTAAAATGTTGCCTATTATTTAGAAAAAGAGTTGGACGAATTAGGTCTAGATCAAGGAAACCGGTTATTCCGTGTCGAGTCTCGTCTCGAACTTCACAACAGTTGGTCTTTGATCACGGTAGACGATTGTTCGTTACGTTATTCTGTACGTTTAACTGCATTTGTTTGTATTTGTTTCTTTTTTTTTTTTTTTTTAATATTTCGATCGTGTGAATGTATTTGTTTGCGTTTAGGAATGGGAATATTCATATGAACACCACAGATCGCGTAGTCATAATTTCTCATAATTTTCGCGGTCTTGTTTAACGTTCTATATCGTTACTTGCGTGAAAGGAATGCGCTCAATTTCTTGATCGTAGTTTTCAAATTTTATTTTGATATGTGAGTTAAGAATAGATAAATCGGAATAAATATTTTTGTGTTGCTTTTTTTGTGCGACGATTTACTCATGGTCTATTAATTATTAATGTCATTTCAATTTCTACTATATTTAAATTGACAGTTTATATATATTCTGAATATTTAAAAGTATTATTTTTGGATGTTATGTTAATTTTATGTGCTGTTGTACGCTGAATTTTCATATTAATATAATCAAATTTCATTCAGTAGTCATCAATTTCAATAACTGCTTTGTATTTCAAACTTCATCCTTTTGTTGGATGTCGAATTAGTTGTACTGTTTCACGTATATTTTACTAAAATTGTATAAAATAAATGAGAACGATCAATTGGTTTCTCTCTAATCAATTTTGCTCTCTAGAAATACATTATTTCGAAAAAAGTATCTCTTGAATAACGAACCAAGAGAAAGACAGAAGATAGGGATCAATGTAGGTGAAAAAAAAAGAGTTTACGTCAAAATTGATTAATTTAAATAAGTTATTTGTTTTCTCTTACCGCTCACTGACCAACATCAAAGTGTTTACGTCAGAAACATATGTAGTTAACTTTTCCTGTGAACGTGATGTGTTCGTAGTACGTAGTGAATGTGCAGAAGATAGAAATTTAGTCGTGTAAAACGGATGCCAGTGAACCACAAATTGCTACTAAATATACACAAAACTATTTATAAAGTTGATTATGCAGTAAATATTTATCAACAATCGGTCTCATCCATCTTCATCGTCTACTTAGTCGTTCATTCAGTCGGTAATATCATTTAATCAGTCTTCACATACATATTGCTGTTTTAAACTAACAAAGTTGTACACATACATAGTAACAGGAAAAGCAATTATAAATCAAAATGCCATATGCAATCGAATATTTTTCCACTAGCACAATTCACAGTAAATCAATGCAATGAAAAAAGATGGGGCATGAGTTTTAAACACATTATGTAAAAAAAAAATTTTGTCGATGTAATTGTTAATGTGATCGAGGACGATGTCATCACCATGGAATAAAACTTACGAAACATATAGATTTTCGTCTCGAAAAAGATACACAAACTTACATTGTTGAGATATACGTTTATAGTGTATACGTTAGCTCATATTTGCTATATATTATTATTATTCGCATTCCTGAAATGGTGTTTCATGATTTTTCATTTTGTTCACCAATGATCTACTAACCCATGACTATTTGTATTACCCGATAATATGATACACAGTCTACTTTCTCGAATTGAAATTGATTTCTGTATAGTTCTGACATCTGTCGCTAATTAGAGGGTACTAATACGGAGAGCGCCAAATTCAAATGATATTCCACAATTGTCAAACATCTTAGTAAATGTAATTACAATAATTTCATAAATGTTTTTATCGAATGAAGATCATTTTCGTGTTATATCGAGATTCTGTTATTGCTTCAATTTTCAGTCGATAAAAAAATATATTTAAGAATATATCAATAGAAAATTGATTCGTTTATTGATCGAACAAAAACATGGAAAACCGAGTGGTTTGCTGTGCTCAGAAAGTGCAATGTTTAGCAAGTTAACAAGCTTTATTGAAACACAGCTGCGAGGCGCATTAAGGTCACGTGTCAATTACCAATTAGGGAAAATATACGCACTACATATATACTAGTATAGGAATTCCATAAACTCATTGTGAACTAATGGATCTCTTTATGTTTGCTACATCAGTTTTTTTTTTTCAAGACCACGTTATACGTATTTGGCTCCATTCTGATAACAATCGTTCAGTATCTCTTCAGAACTTCAACAAAAGACACAACTTATTTAGATTTACTACTAGGTAAGTAAAAATGAAATTTTTGTGTTTTTGTTCGGATATTGTATAGAAATGGCGGGAACTAAATCCCCGTCAAAGATTCATTATGCATACGATTATAATATGATAATGGCAAGAACCATTAAGCTTTCATACGTGACTTCCATTACGGTTATTATCAGTGTTATCAAGTAAATCTGGCTTCATAAATCAGGTTTTCGTTTCCAGCTTCCCAGAGCCAGAATGCTAGAAACAGAGGAGAGAGGATACTTTCATTGGGCAGATTGGCTGGTGTTCGCGCTGATGCTCGGTGTATCTGCCGCCGCAGGATTATGGCATTACAAGGGAACACAGAAGTCGAGCACGGAAGATTATCTCTTAGGAGGAAAGAGTATGGCCCTCTTTCCCGTGTCCGCTTCCCTCGTAGCCAGGTAGTCCCATTTCTCTTTCGAATCTTTTTAATTGCCAGTAAAGTAAATCATCAAAAATTTCACGCTTGATCTATAAAAACATAAGTATAGGAAAGAGAATTTTTATTTCTTCTAGCTTCATATCTGGCGTGACAATTCTCGGAACACCCGCAGAGATATACAATTTTGGAACTCAATATTGGATTACCATTATTTCGATATTCTTTTCGGGCCTGGTCGTGGCTCTTGTTTATGCACCGGTCTTCGTTTCACTTGGATTGAATTCCGTTTACGAGGTATATCAATTGCTGACTTAGGTGAATTCCTAACGAATGTGTTAATTCCTAACGAATGTGTTCATTATCTTTATTACAGTATTTAGAAATGAGATTTAATCGTGGCGTAAGAATCCTCATATCGGCGATCTTCGTCGTTGACGTGGTAAGTGATAATTTTAAACATGATTTATCTCAATAGATTTCACGCGATCTGAAATTTGACATGTACAATTGAAAAGTACATTTGAAACTTTGAAACATGGATTTGATCATTGATCTTAATTCAACGGAGGATTATTTGCAATCGAGTTACATTACGTTATGTTACGAAAGCACGAAACTTTAATTTGCTACTCTTTGAGAATAACTAATGGTACGGTCGATCCAACGTTTCATTAATAATATCGTTATAAACCAATTCTAGGTCCTTTACCAATCGATCGTGGTATACGTTCCAGCGTTAGCGCTAAATCAAGGTATTACATGCTCATATCATTTATAATAGAATATTAACCGAATATTACTAAAATCTTCTCGATTAATTACAGTCAGCGGCATTGATGTACATTTGATCGGGATCATTGTATGCCTTGTATGCGTGTTCTACACTGTTCTGGTAAGTTCACGTTTTGAAAATTCATTGTAATATGCCTAATCTACTAGTAAATCTACTGCGAATAAAACAAAATAATTCTTTACAAACAGAAGAATTTTTATCTTTGTCGCTTAAATAATTTTTCATTGAAGATGTATCGTGGACGATACTCGTTTATTTTAACTTTTTTTTGAAATTCAGTAACTCGTTCATCTCAGGAATTCGTATAAATATTAAACATGTAGAAACTGTGTGCGCTGTCACACAAAAATTCTTAGGTCACCTATCCGAAGTTAAAAATACTTAGGCAGCATGAGGCAAGGACACGTAGCTTCTACGAGCTATAAAACTTGCATACCTCCACGGTGTTCCGTAGGAATGTTTTTTACCACGTTTCTTTTCCCTCAATAATAGTTTCATGAAGCTTGATCCTCGCTTTGCTTCTAAATATATACGAAAAAACTAAATTGAACAGTTTAGTTTTAATCTGTTAAAGACAGTGTATCTTTAAAAGACGATTAACACATTTTTCTAGATATTTGTCTCTCGATAAATCTCTTAACAAAAGCTCGTGCAAAAAATAAGAAATACGTTATAAATATCTGGCGAATTTTACTAAAATGCAAGAATGTAATAACGTAATTTAGTAGACACGCATCGGAGTTTGAAATCGTTGGACGTATTAATTAGGAGGACGTGATCGCGTTGAATGATCGTGACGAAGCGGATTCATCGTGGACCCTCGAGGAGTTAACAAGACGTATCACGGTGACGAAACACACGTAAAACGAGCGTAAGGCAGACAGAAATCGAGTCTCGATCCGATGGTTCTAGGTAGAGCTAATTTTCCAAGGACGCTGGTTCGGCGAATTCTCTCAGGGATAGCTGAAGTTCCTCGGACGGGAGGATGCTGGTAGCTGGTAGGAAACAATTTTCGGTGGACAATGCCGCGAAGAATCTCTCACGCGGACCCGGCTACTGGAAATGTTTATGGACGGAAACTGAAAGCTCGACAATGGCCCGGCGGAAACAATGGCGCGGAGCACGTCGAGTGCTCGTTCCCCGTGGTAGCAGATCACAAAGCCAGCGCCGAAGTGATTAATCGCATGCTCGCGCGCGCTTGTAATTATTCAAGCAATTTGTTGTAGCCCGCGAATTAATGAAAATTTATCGCGGTCCGGTGACTCTTTGGAAATTTGTTTATTACCGCCGTGGCCGCTTTCGTACGTTTATAAGCTTGTCCTTCGCTTAACGATCACGTCTACTAAAACTGCGGTCCGCTTTTTCACTCGGGTCTCTCAAGAAGTGTAAGTAAAGTTTGATGGTTCTCGTTGTTGCGGCAGAGAAACTTTGTGCAATGATGCTTCACAGGCTGTACGAGGCATACGCTATTTTTTTGTAGCTTTAAGTGTAACGATAGATGATGAGACGGAATTCAATGAAAGGGTAGTTAGTCACGATTGTTCGTGGCTATCGATAGATACGTAGATGAAAGGTGGGTTAATTGGAGAATGTGATTACCAGGGTGGTATCAGGGCAGTAGTTTGGACGGACGCGCTTCAGGTCGGAGTCATGGTTGCTGCTGTGCTGACTGTTAGTATACTGGGCACTTACCATATTGGCGCCGCTGAAATATGGAAGGCGTCATTGGATACCAACCGAATTGAATTCTTAAAGTAAGAAGTATTTAACGTTACGGTGAAATAAATTTGCGAGCCCATCCTTTCATGAGGATTTCTTTTCTTTTCACAGTTTCGATCCATCTCCTTATATAAGACACACAGTATGGACTGTGTTGATTGGTTCGTGGCTTTATAGCACCGCTTACATTGCCGTGAATCAAACTATGGTACAACGGTATAGATTATTGAAAGATCTGAAAACATCCAAACTGTAAGTGAGTACACCACAAATTATTCGTATTTTAGGAATAAAATTATTTAATACGTTATTTATATATCATTGTATATTGCGTATAAATAATAATTGTAATATTATTATAATTGCAATAAATAATATATATGATTTCAGGTCATTAGCGATATTTACTATCAGTATTATGTTATTTATTTCATTGTGCTGCTGGTGCGGTCTCGTTCTCGTAGCTTGGTGGTCTCCACCTAAGTGCGATCCTAGAGCTATTGGTTTGATCACTGCTGATGATCAATTATTACCTGCTTTCGTAATGGAAATTGCAAATCATTTACCTGGAATACCAGGCCTTTTTATTTCTGGAATTTTTGGAGCAGCTCTTAGGTATACATTCACCATGAATTTATCTTTAAATTTGAATTTATCTGTAAATTGTAACTTCTGTTGGTTACATTTCATTTTCTTTTAGTACCCTTTCTGTAGGCTTTAATTCAACGGCCGTAGTAATTTTGGAAGATTTCGTGAAGGGTTGGTGCGGCATGAAACCAACCGACCGATGTTCCACCATTTTTGTAAAGTGTGTGATTGTCTTGCTTGGTTCTATAGCTCTGGGTTTACTCTTTTTGGTTGAGAAATTAGGAGGAGTTTTAGCTGTGAATATTTCCTTCAGTTATTTTCTTCACACACGATGTACCTTGAAATAAAAATTCATTGCTTTTTTATTTCATTGCAGATAACCGGAAGTTTAGCAGCTATTGCTGCAGGTACTTCTTTCGGAGTGTTCACGCTAGGTATATTCTTCCCGTGGACAAATTCTAAGGTGAATGATTACTTGCATGTTCAAATTTGACATAAATGCATAAAAACCAGTAGCATGTTCATCAGCATCACAATTGAGTAAGTATAAAAATTTCAACATTTCTTGTTCTGCTGATTAGGGCGCGTTTATAGGTGCTATCGTAGGATTCGTTATTGCTGGTTGGGCGAGTTTAGGTGCAAATTGGTCTATCGGTGCCGGGTTGCTAGTCCCTAAGAAACTTCCAGTGCCCCTTTCTCATTGCGCGGGCAATATCTCCGAAAGTTTCCTGAAGCAGTTTGATCATCCGAAGTAAGTCAACCTTAGCCTAGGCTGTAATTATTGTCTTTCATAATCAATTAAATTCTGAGTGGTCATTGCATTGCCATTTAAAGATCAAGGTTTCGCAATCAGAGTTAAATTGTTCTGTCATTATATCTACTTGAAATTGAAAACGAGTTTTTCTTATCCTTGAATGGAATTCTCTTTTTTCAGCGAAGACGAAGTATTTCCTTTGTATCGATTATCGTACCATTGGTTCACCGGTTTAGGCACATTAATTGTCATCGTTGTGGGTAATCTTATCAGTTGGTGGACCGGCCCTACAAATCCTTCTTCTATCGATAAAAAACTGCTCTCACCGCTAATTCATTCGCAAGTTAAAAATATTATTTGTTTACTACGCGTTTGTCATAAAATTTTTACAAACTTTTGTACTTTTTAGATTGTTGCCGAAACCTAAACACGAGAATGTTGTTCCTACTGAAAGTAGCGCTGGTACTAGCGATTTAGCGACAACAGCAAGTCTCTTATTGTACGATTTAAGAAAGAAAAGGGTAAATATCAAAAGATAAATACTAAAAATATTCTCTGTTTAAACATGTTTCTGTTTTCATTACAGGGAAATCAAAATTTTTCTAATGGCGTCATAACATAGTTCAAACGTCAGATTCCAATAGTTTATTAGACGTCAACAAACTGAAACTAAACTACTACCGTTGGAAACATCGATAGTACCGAAAACAAAATTTTCAGACCGAGCAAACGTGAAGTTTAATTCTCTTCCAATATTCATTTAGGTTTAAACATCATTGTAGACAATAATGTTCGTTACAAGTCGTAGATCGACTCAATCCCACAAAGAGAAGTTTATTTTGAGATGCAGTTACTAGAGACATTTATGAATTGTTTTATAACTCTTAGAATTTATATATTTAGAATAAATTTTTCAATTTTATGAACCGTATGTTTCATGCGTATCTTTGAAACTTATTTACTCTTTAGTCAATTTTGTAGGAGATCATTTTGCAGAAAATCACACCGTAAGTGTCACTGTTTCAATCATTGCAATTATCTCTATTAAATGATCATCCAGGATGACACAAAGTCAGTCGATAAACGTGGCAAGCTGCGTAAGAGAATCGGGGATGCGGAGAAGGATGAATTTTGCCAGCAGGTCCGGTTGCTCCTCACACCGAGTTCTCTAACTGAGTTTGTTCGGTTTTCAAGCTTTGGTGATTCCCGACGGTGTCCGTCGTGCGGAAGGTGAGTGAGTCGATGGAGGAACGGAGACGAAGGAGCAGAGAGAAGGACAGAGAGGGTAAACCAAGGGGAGTTAAGGCCCCAGGATATTAGCCGGCTTGTTAAGGGAAAGCCAACGCCGTCAAACGTCCTTATTAAGGCCACGCAAATAGCTGCTACGCTTCTCCATGCTTATCTCTTGACTCGGCTTCCTGGAAATTCAATTTTCGCCTGGTTGAAATGCGCCCGGTCAAAAGCGGCGTCCTTCTCCAATTCGATATTGTCGATCATCAAGATCGATATTCGCCGTGTTGTTACGCTTGTGTTTTGCGATTGGTCGCTCTTGTTTGAATACTTGGACAGAATGACCGGTGATTCGAAATGGATTCGTTGGAAAAAGAAACGTCAGAGAGGAAACATTTTCATAAGAGAATTTTGTTATCTGAATGTTATTGCTTTGAATCGTTTCAATGCTTGGCTAATTAAAAACACAAGTGAAGTAGAAATTTCTAAAAATTAGAAGACTCATTTAAATAATAGAAATGAGACAAGGTATAATCATTTCTTATTCTTTCATTTTGTTTACGTTGCACAAAGTTTATCAAGTAATAGAATTTCCGTGATTTAGTGTAAAATTGTTATCCCACGGAACTTACGAGTGGATCTCTTTCTATAAGGGAGTTGAAATCGTTCTCGTTCTCTTGTCTGGGCTGAGGCTTAACGATCCCGAGTGCGTTCTTTTTCTAGCGGTATCGCGGGACGAAGATGCGTGTTGAATGGGAGCGTAGCCGCGAATTGCGCACGGTGCATGCGAAGGTTTCATTAAGAGGAGCGTGCGACACGTAGCGTCGAAAAGAAAATTGCGAGTTGCGGGCCGCGTGCAGGGCTTTATTAAGCGCGCTTCATGCGCGATTTGCATTCGTCTGGGTCGCTGATAGATTTGAAATTCCCACGTAGAACGTGCCACGGTTATATAGGGTCGAGAATTCGAATCGGGACGAATACCCGGTGACGCCTAGTGGAACGTACCTACGTAACCACGCGTGATTGTGTAGACGAATGAAGCGAGTCGAACAGAGACCGAGAGTAAAGATAAGGTATGACGGACGAACGGATTGAAAGAGGAGAGAGAGTTGCCAGTGGTCCGAAAGGACAGAAAGAGAGAGAGAACAAAGATGAGAGAAAACATAGATTTGAGAAGGGAGAAGGGGAGAAAATGAAGCAGAACTGTATAAAGAAAAGAACGCGAAAATCAAGCGAGAGAGGAGCGGTAACGATGAAGTGAGAAAGAAAGCGCATATGGGAGCGAGGGGATCACGTTTCTAAGAGAAACAGCTAGAGGCGAGAGTGTATGAATTTGCAAAATAGAAAATGGATTAGACGAGATGCATGATTTAACGAATGAAAAGAACGTAGAAGGGAGTGCAGATAACGAAACGGAGGGTATCACCTTTGGAAGTGGAACATCTTTGATGAGAGTTGAATAGAGGGAGCGGGATAAAAGATGTCAAACGAGAGGCAAAACATTCGATTAGCAAGGCAAGATAGAAAAGAGGTAAGATTAGGACCCTGTACGTGTGGAGCGAGTATTAGGAAGGATAAAGCGAAGAAAATAGCAGATTACGTGTACGGCGAGAGAACCGGTGGTAAATTAGAGAGGGATACAGGACGTGTAGAAGAAACGTGCGGCAAGAAATATGTCGAATTCGAACGACGAATGAGGATGGAGTTTTCGCAGAGCAGGAGGGAAAATCGCCGAGTGAAGTCGGTGCAAACGAGACGCGAGTTGCGAGCAACGGAGAGGCGAAGTTTGGGGATGAACGAGACGCACGGGCACAGAGGGATGGCGGTGAATGAGGGTTGGACCGAGCGAGACACAGAGATCGGGCTAGCAGATAGAGACGGATAGAGAGAGGTCGTGGCGGTTTGAATGGGGCTAGTTTGAGATAGTTAGCGGGCCTTCAGAGGCACAATCGGCCGCGATTGGCGGGCCTACAATCACACGTCGCATTATATGTCCATCAGCGCAGCGGATCTTGCAAATACGTTAGCGCGTGAGCCAACGAGTTATCGTCCGCAAAAATCTTCAATTCAAACCGTCGTCGATGCGGATACGAGGTCTCTCGTGGTCAGACACGAAGGATTCTTAGAAACGTTGCAATTCACGTGGGATGTCGACGTGATTTTTCGACGTGATCTGTTAGAAAAAATATGGAACGTCAGAGCTGTGAAGAAATAAATTCAATGGTAATGGTACGATTTTACCGGATTGTCTTAGATTTTTGTTATCCCTGTGTACAGCCAAGTTGCAGACTTTCATTGCAAGGGAAGACAAATAGCAAGCGATATTAGGTGAAGGCGCATCTGCGAGGCAATACGCGATTAGACGCAGAAGCACCGGAGCAAATATTGTCTTTACTAATCTGCCGTTAGAGTCGCACTATCTTAGAATTACCATGGGATAGGATCGAATTCTTAGAGAGTTAATTGGGTCCTGGCTAGGGATTTCGCGCGAAGATTCTCCGGATGCAAAGACAAACGAGAATGGTCATAACCCTTAGTCTTGTTTACCCAAGGGTAGAGTTACATTCAAAGGATGTACTCTGGAACTGTTATCCGATGATAAACGGGGTAGCTACGCCTTCTATTAAAGCTTTTCTAAATAATTTATAACCCTGTATAATCTCTGACATTTGACGTGTATCAGATTACACATTGTAAAACAAAATAATTTCCAATTATTCGTGTCTGAAATTGAGAAAAAAATAGAAGTAACAAAATAGTATTGTCGAATACTGTTCTAGCCATCCTGTACATCTAGATGGCTGAACATCGGGGAAGCTCCAAAGGTCTTCAATATAAATAGGCATGATTATTCGAAACCTCAAATCAAACGTACCTGGAGAAACAGCAGCAGACGACTGACGGAATAACTAATTTATCAATTCTTCGCTTCGGTTGGCTTCGATACCTATATTTGCGAACGCGTGTAAACAGTTAAACCTCTGAACTCTCAAGGTACATATGTTGTCGCGTTGTATTTGGCTATGGAAGATTTCCAGAAAGCTCCGGGTTCCGATGTTAACCTGCGAAATTACATACACTTGCGTTTATTCGTTAAAATTATTTCGCAACGCGTTAATCTATGAATCAAGTTGTATCGTATAAGGGAAAAAGCTATAGATACTACATTTTTAAATGAGAATCAAAATTGTCAGGATTTAAGCGGCAGCAGCACGATCATTAATAGAAAAAAAAAAAACAAAAAAAAACAGAAAACAAGGGAGAGATAGGACGAATAATTAGTTGGGATTATTGTTATTTTTATACGCGCATGGATTAAAATTTCCATATTTTTGATAGAAAATATTTTTAATGCTTGAAAAAACAGAGTTTTAAGAAACACCACTCGAGGCATAAAAAGCGCAAAACAAGCGTGCACGGTGTAATGCGAAACGAGAGATGGGAAATCGGTTTATCCCAAAAAATGGGCAGCGCGCAGTAATGATGCCAATTAATCCAGATCGAGTAGCACCGTCATGGATTGTGGCGGGCTCGCGTTCCGAAATATTGTTCGCGATACGGCAAATCGTTAGAATAAAAATTTCGCGCGCAGACGTGACGTATTAGCCGGGCGAACGAGTCATAAAGGCGCATAATTACCAGTAGAACGTTCGATAAATTGTAACGAAGATAGAGTGATATACTCGTGAAAGGAACGTGTTTAAAGGGAGCCGTTTCGCTAATTGAAGAAAATTGCACACACGAAAAGGCTTTTAATTAAATTGACCGATTCAGCGAACGAGTTGTATTTATCTACCGTTTTATTGAAATTAAAAAGAATCGGTATTGTCGGGAGAGCCTATTAACAATTGTCAATGCTGCTTGTTATTTTTTTCTTCTTTCTTTTTTTTTTTTTTTTGGCGAATACGCGTGTGAAACGAATCGATCAAATTTCTTTGTCTCGTAATTCTTTAAAGGATTTAAAACTAGACGTCCGTTCTTTTTCAGTTACACGGCGACGTTTTTTTATATAAAATTCGTTTTTTTATATAAAGTTGCTTTTCGTAGTAATGGTTGCTGGCTTATTAAACCAGTTTTCATTTAACCTATCGAACAAATACGACGCGCGCGTTAAAAATTATAATCCCCCGGCGTATATTATTTTGCAGCGTTGCTCGTGCGAATTTTAAAAGGTCTCGATGCTCAATTCGAAATTTTTTAACACGTAACACGCGAACAGTGTTGAACGTGACTATTATTAATAGGGGTAGGAAAAAACCAATCGAATCGAGTGCGGTTGTAGCGGCGATTTTATCGTTCGTCAAGATGAAATTTATAACAGCCGTTGCGCTTAATTTGTTTCAAGTGATCGCGAACGGCATTCGAATATTTTTTTCCGCACGCGTAATGGCTCCATTTACGCCGTAGCCGTTTAGCAAGTTGCAACACACAATCCCTTATTTACTTATCATTTATATATGTTAGCGTGCACACATATCCGCAGGTCTCCCATTTCATTTCACTAACGATGATTGATGTTATTCGTTTATTAACGCACAATAATCCAATGATGAAAAGAGCTTTCCAATAAGGCACGTGAATTTATCTATTAACCGCTAATGACCTGAATCTATCTGCCAACCGCGAGAATCGAGCTAACGACGCCTGCCATCTATGTACGTTTCTATCCGGCAGTTATGTAACGTCGCGATTCAAAACGGCGGCAACCGCGGAGTCGGACGCGTATTTTCTCGTGTCGCAACGTTTAAATTATTCGGTTACAGTTTTCTTTGTACTCTTTCGAACAATTTGACGAAAACGTATTGATCGAAACGTAAAAGAATGTGGGATAAATGAGTGAAAAGTGTATATGGAGGGGAAACTCGACGATGGAGGGCAGGTTGGTTGCAGCTTAGGCAAGTGCCACTACAATTTTTCAATTTTGTAATTCATACAATTTATTTATATACTGATATGTATCTATTTTGCAATGTTATACATATTGATATTCGAATATATATTAGTTATCAAATTAATATATATTAACTGAGAAAGTGATTTGAATGAAATCGTCTAGCGCAATAAATAAATTTAAATTAATTTTGCTGTACAAAAAGCGGCTGAGGGTATTTATTATTATTAAAGAGGATACACGTTCTGACAAAAGTTGTCATTCTAACGAATAAAGTATCCAAAGACTGAAATAAAATACGTATACTCGTGAAAATCGTATATACGCATTTGTGACGTCATTTTCGTCAGAACGACAGTTTCTCAAAAGACGTATTCGCTGCACCGTAGTCTACGGAGCTACGCGAAGTACAGAGGGCGCTCTATTCAAATAGATATAATTCTCATATACGCATTTCAAATAATCGTTTACAATGTCATTCGAAATATAATTCATAAAAATCAATTGAAACGATAAACTAGATAATATTTTCTATGGTTATGGACATTGTTTCGAAAAAAATGTGCACCGTGCAATCAAAGAATCAGACAACCATGGTTAATGGTATCGATAAATGTTACACCGAACAGCCATTTTCTTTTTTTTTTTTTTTACATAAACCTGTTAACTATTTATTTGTCGGTTAAATATAATCCGTTCTCTGGACAGATTTGACATTTCCATCTTGTAAACGGTCGTTTTTATTGGCCGTATATATTGCCAATTTCAGGGTTAATTTATATATGATTTCGGTTTGAAACGTCCATTGTAAACAACCACAGGCGTAATTAGAACGGCTATGCGACTGAAAACGCGTGTTTTGTTGATATTTAATTTACGCTAGGTCGATCAAACGAACGCGTTATATCGATGCATTTTGACTTCATATTCCGGGTGAGAAGGAAACGCTTCGAACCTGAAATTCAATTGCGGGTTTTTCATTTCCAAGACAATTGACAAAACGATCATTTTATCGATTATCTTTCCAATTTATTTTATTTCATTTTTTTTTTTTTTAAATTCATATCTTTTCCTCTGAATTTGAATCCGTTTTATATACACAGATATAAAGTTCATTTCTATCACATTAGTGACAAAGATTTTTCATCGTATGTGTAAATGATCTGACAATTCGAGCTATAACCTAACGTGAGATATGAATGATTATCCTCTAAGAGAACTTACCTTCGAATCAAATTCTCCGATTGCTCGCACCTGTTTAATACGCGTATTTCAACAGGCCTTTCCTGCAATCGCAGTTGCAACATTATCATTTCCTACACTCGCTGGAAACTTTCACGTTTTCATTCGGCGTGCCAGTCCCCGAGCGTGCGGCTCAGTGATCGGCAAGACAGATCGTGGACGAGGCAATTAATCACAATAACGTCATAATTACTTAACGCGTGACGCAACAAACACTCGCACGTCGTTCGGCAAAGCGAGGAGCTGAACAAAAGGTTAAGCGGCTTGAAAAGGCGCGGCTAGATGATTTCGCGGTAATTTTTTCATACGTCCGCGAGTCCTCCGGGACATTCGGGGACAGAGAGGTTCGCGTCATATCGAGATTACGCGAGGAAACGCTGCCTATCGAGCATCCGCCAATCTCTGGCCGCGAGTTTCAATGAAGGCCCGCTGGGATCCCGCGACTTCGTGTCCGACGTAATGACGCTGAATATTTTTCCGTGGCATCCGAATTGTCCTAGGGTTTCACCGTGTCACCCTTTCAACAAGAAACATTCAGTTTCATCCGGCCACGGCCGGTTCGTTTTTTTTTTTTCTCTTTTTTTCTTTTCCTCTCTTTCCGTGACGCTCCTTTCACCGCTTTAAATACGCGTCGACGGTATTGCAATTTACCCTATGAATTTCCGCGATTGGTAAAGATGTTCGTTAATTTCGCGCGGTTCGTTTTTTGAGCACGTGAATCGGCACATTTAGTTTAGGCGCCGGGGAATATGGATTTGCAAATGAACGTTTGAAATTTACGGGATCGGAAATTGGAGCACGCGATTCAATCCCGGGGAATTTTTCTTTAAATGTGTTTAAAAGTCGGAGGATCCACGGGGAGAGGGGAAAGGAAGGATTAACCGTGGATATTTTGCTGCTGTGGAGATTTCTGTCTGGAAGAATTTAAAAAAATTCGTTTCCACTTGTCGGATGTTGTAACGAATGTTCCAAGTTCTGTCCGAATCTAATTTTGATTTTGTCGCGAATTTTTATTAGAATAACAGGCGCGAGCCTGTTTCATGACGCGAGCAGCCCGATCCTTATTCCTACGAAACTGAATAGACGGTATCAATTAATCTTACAATTATTCACATGGTCCAATAAAACAAACGAGCGTGGAACGTCGTCCCAAGGATCAAACGGCGTGTAGTTGTGTACGAGCGTCTAGCCACGGTCTGCTTTGTTAGGTGAAAGCACCGAGACTCCTCTCATTGAGGGTGCCTGCGTGGAGGTTCGTGCTACGTGGTCGTAGCCACGGTCGTGGTCGTGGTCGTGGTCGTGGTCGGTAATATCTCACGGTAACGGTATTTAGCGGAACCGTCGCGACTGTCATCCGCGATGAAACGGTGGAGGCAGGGAAGACATTAAACGTAATGAATTACCAGCCGGGAGGAGTAATGTGTCTTAATTACGGGCCCGCGGCACAATAATTATGTAATTAGGCATTGTTTGCCGACCAGCCCCTAATCACAATCCCGATGTCGCAGCCTCGTCACGGCTCGAGGTGCTGCATCGCGTTATCGACCGGCTCCGTTTCAACGTCGTTCGTCCGCGTCTAGACGCCGACGCTCGCCTCCTGTGTGACCGGCTTTGTACCGCCAACTTACTCCCCTTCGAACGAACTTCTTCCATAAATGGCTGTAACATTCTCGTCCGTTTCCTTCTGTTTTTTTTTTTTTTTTTTTTTTTTTTTCGAACGCAATTTTGAGTTGTGAGTTGCGAGTTGCACGGTTCTTTGGGGATAAAAAAAAAAAAGAAAAAATGCAACAACTTGTATTTGAATAATTTGTCATCTGATATTTAGCAGATGTGAGTCAGCGTATTGAGAAATTGAAGATTTATACGCGAAGGAATTACTTTGCGATTCGAGCGATATGTTAATTCGCCTTCTTTGGTTGGGGATAGGGGAAGTTAATTGCCATTTGTTCTTTTTCATGAATATTTATATTATAGAACGAGATACCATTGTGCCTTCTTGAAATTACACTTCAATTAAGAAAGAGTTAGTTTCACCCGAGATAATAAAACGACGTGGCAATATATTTTCTTTTAAGTAGTCATGATACACTTAACGAACTGCAGGTGAAATTGTGCGACAGGAGATTATTATTATAACTATCATATTCCAGTAAAAAAGGTGATTGGAATTTTCTCTTTTTTATCGTTTTCCGTTGGCACGCCAATTAGAAAAGGTGAAAAATACTGCAAGTTTTAATATCCGAGTCGACGAAAGACACGTAATATCCGGGATTTTTTTAGATTCTCGCGATACGATACACGTTGATTATATGCCTGCTCCTTTTTTTTTTCGCTTACGCTTGTCAGAACCGTATTTACCGTAGTTAGAAATAATAATGTCGGGTTCAGTTGTCCTTTGTCAACCTAGTTACCTTCAGATTCAGTCAGTCTGCACAAGTCATTTCTTGGACTGCCATCGTAACCAACGGTTTCACTAAGGTTGCTCTTTGTTTCACTCCCATTATCGATTCGAGCGAATCGAAATGAATAATCTCCTAGAATAATATATCCTTTGATAAGTAAATTTAGCAACCAAGATAAGCTAATTTATCGCTTAGATTGCTGACTGATTGGACTGAAATGAGAAATATCTCTTTTGCCTCTATTCAGAGAATTAACAAAAAAGAAAACGTGCTTCTCAACTTTTTAGATTTTAATGGTCGAAAAAAGAAAGAAAAGGAAAAAAAAAAACTGCTCGGTTAAATGTCGTCCTCGCGATCGAACGACGAAATATAATCGAGAATAATTGGCAAAATATTGAATCGGACTTTTCGAAAGCCTTGGTCGATACGGTTGCGCAGTTAGTCTATCGGCATTTACGGCGCGCAGAGGCCAGGTTGATCACGGTGCATTAATATTTATGCGCGAAATCAAATCCGTAAGCCGTGAGGTCTCGACCTGGTGGAAACGTAAGCACAGGAATCGAGTCACCTAAAACGCAAGACAAACACGATGGTATGTCATGGGCTCCGCAGATTTCCTGCAGGTATTTGGGATACCTTCTCCCGTCGTTGACGTCGTTCTCCTCCTCATCGTCTAGAGCGCAAACCGTGCCATTCGAAAATTTACATCGTTCGCCGTGCTCGCGCTTCCGACACCGGGTGTCGTCGGGATTCAGAACAGTCGGATTAAATCTTCGGCTTTGTATCGAGCGGTGCGTAAGATGCGTGCAAAGTACCTAATGTTTGCCTATCCGTGAAATAACACCGGTTTAGCTGGTGATATCTGCTTAGTCTTCGGAATCTTTGACTTGGTTCGGAACAAATGACATTTCTGTTGGGTTAGGCCGATAAGTCGGAAATTTGGAGGAAATTTAACGGTACTGTATTTTCCTACACCGTTACCAGATTATGTATATTTCTACCATTCACTGAGCAATCGTAATCAGTTTCTAAAGATGAAACCTCA